GAATATCGAGTTTTACTAGTGAATTTTCAAGCAAGAAACACTTGCCCGTCGTCAGACTAAATGAAAAGTGTGGAATGGGATTGTCGCACTAGAGCGTTTTGTGGGGGAGAGGCAGGTTGACAGACGTTCACAATGGAGGGGGCGGAGGAAAAGCATCGATACAGCCTCCCCCCTAGAAGTGACCCTATCGGACTTTACAACACCCCTCCCTTCCCCGCCCCTCACACCAACACCAACCGTAACTAGTTTACCCTCTCCTCCCGCCATTGTGAAAATCCGTCTGCAAAAATCCCCTTCACACAAAATGCTCTAATGTGACAATCCCATTCCCACTTTTCATTTAGTCTGACGACGTGCAAGTGATACTTGCTTGAAAATTCACGAGTAAAACTCGATTTTCCGAAGACCGTCTTCGTTTTCATTGTCGTGTGCGTTTGTGTGTGTGTGTGTGTTGTGCTCCTAAACGGTCTGTTTGGTAGGTGTGCTGGACCAACACGGCGGCAAGCTTTATTCCAGTTGCGCGCCGAAAACAAAATGGCGAACATGAGGGGAGGGTGTGGTGGCACTAGGGAGGGGTGGCATCGGACGCGGAGCTACCTGCGTCCGGTCTCGACTCCGTTTTTTTTTATTCTGTCCCTACACTGGGCAAAGATAGGTGAAGGAGGAAGGAAGGAGATAGTGCGGTAGATGCTGCAAAAGTCTGCAATCACTTTAGCCCAATGCCCACGCAAGTCACGTGCCCTGCAACATTCTTTTGTGGACATTGTCGAAATAAACGGTCGAACTGTCGTGCTACCTACTTGCGGCAAGGTGGATGAGACACAACAGAAAACTGTGCTTATGCACGACTGTATTATACACAGTCTCGGTTCATGGCGCTTTGACAGGTGCGATTACATTATATGCAATCGCGACAACGTTGAAGTACTTCAATGATTTGAGAAACAACACAGAACGGAGAAATAAGAATAGACAGACATATTTAATATGTCTGATTCCATGCATTTATTGCCAACTTTCAGGCGTCTGTGTGCAGCGCTCAGCGACTGCCTGAATTCATCATTGTGTTCTAGCCTTCTCTTGCATTCCAGCCGCTATTATTTTGGCCATTTATTTCGGTCATCATCAGCCGGCCATGGTTAAAACCTAGTCTGCCTCGGGGTACCTGATATCAGGTGTGATTACGTTGTACCGCCTTCA